GCATAGCAAGTTTCAGAATGGGACAGATACTGAACACGCGGTATGTGCCGGGCGCTGTAAGACGTTCAGGCTATACCCATGCATAACCCTGCCCCGCAGGCAGGCACAGTCACGGCACAGTGCTAAGACCGAGCTCAGCAATGACAGCAAGTGACTTTTCCTTCAGTACTGTTTTCTTAGTCCCTGGCACTGTGACTAGTATATACAGCAGATACTGGAAGGGAGGGAAGGAGGAAACAGAATTTTTAAAACCAGGTTCAAGATTCTGTGAGGCAGGTAGGATATAGCTGGTCTTCTTCCCATTTTAACGGATCAGAAATCTCAAGGTTCAGAGAGGTTCAGTGGCTCCCACGAGGCCACATAGCGACAGAGGGGGCAGTCTCAGGACTTAGCTTTTTCCCCACCTGTTGGTTTTCTCCATCCCTCCTGCTCCTTCCAGTCCCTGGAAGGAGCATGGCAGATGGCATTGGCAGGTTATCAAAGGGCGAGAGTGACAGGAGATCCTCTGTGTTTGGAAGGTGTGGGATGAACCGATGGCTATGAGCAGACAGAAGCTCTGAGAATCTGAGCAGACATCAGGGCCACCTCCTAGAGACTGCGTGGTTCTACAGGAGGCCATTTTCTTCCTGTCTCCTGTCCACTTTGCACCTGCTAGGGAGGAAAGCTCACTAGGAGCTCCTGGCGTGGGTGGAGAGAGGTTTCTCGTGCAGAAATTGGATATATAAAAGTAAAAACAGCTTATTTTATCTTCTTAAGGGAGAGAAGGCAAGTGAGAGAGAGAAAGAGAGAAGGAAAAGGGGTCAGGGAAGAGAGCAGAGACTGTGGCCTTCCAAAGAAAGAGAAAGGGGTGCCAGCGCTGAGGCCAATGGCTTGCTGATTTTAAGGGGGGATGAAGAGAAACAAAATAGTGGTGGCTGTCAGTTGCTAACAAAAGCACCAGCAGGATGTCAAAGTCCGAGACTTGGTTTCCTGCCTTTCCTTGGAGGTGGGATTATCACAGGAGATGTGACTCTGTCCTCCAGATATGGTTGAGACTGACTGCATGTAGCTCGTTCTCTCGCTGTTCACCCAGGAACTCTGTAAAAGCAGATTTTTAAAAAAACAGTTATGAAAGAGAGAGATTTACATCTCGGTTTCGATCCATTTAGCTCTCTCCAGAAATTGTCCAAAACAGAACTGCAGCAGAGTGTCTGTTAGTGAGAGAACTCACGGGATCGATATTTAACTGTTACTGGGGAAATTGTGGGGTTAGGTATTTTCCTGTTATTTTTGCAAGGCCGCCCCTTTCGGCACCTGTGAGCTCTTACTCTAGGCGAGACTGTTCAGGGCAATTTCCCAGACTTCCAGTTTCTGCAGTTATTTTTAGCTGTAGCTTTAGCGCATACCTGGGACAGGTGAGGCCTAAAAAGGAATGTGGGTGTGGGTAACCATTGAATCTCTAGTGCCAAGGTCTGGATCTCTTGTCATTCCAGCTAAGAAGGGGTGACTCACACTCTGATTTATTACCTGCCCAGAGGCTAGATTTTACCTTAACAACTATGTGGACTAGAGCTTCTTTTATATTCTCTAAGTTTTAGGGACATGCTTTCTTGATGTTATTTTGTTGTCTGCTTTTGATAACTTGGATCCCTTCGTTTTCTGTAACCAACACCACTGTCTGTGGTTCTTTCTGGTCCTATTTCCCAGGGCTTTGAGGAAAAGCCCTGGGACAAATCCGATAAAGTCTCTGCTTTAGGTTTGTGGATTCCTCTGCAGGCAGGAAGCTACCTAGAAAGCAGGCTGGGTGTAAGCCAGATGTCCTTTAAGAGCCAGCCAAGTTCTGGGATAGTCATCACATTTTTGAGAGACATCATGATAGGTCTAGACCCCTCTCAACAACTAGAATCCCCTCAGTGTCCTTAAATGATTTCTTCAGGGTTCTCTGGAATTCTGGGCCTGCTTTAAGCCTGAAATAACCTATCTGATTGAAACCCAATCCCTGGGCTAGGACCCCTTCATAAGACAGAGAGGTATTTTCCTCATTCTCACTCTTGGCTCTGTGCACAGAAGTAAAACTAGGCTAGCTGGTACCATGAAGCACTGTTATAGCAATAGAACCCAATGAATACCATATAAACTGGCTTTATGATTCAGGTGAGAAATAAGGAGGAAATTTTCTGAGTCAGCGTTACATGACTATTGCAAGGTGCTCTCTTTCTTAAGTCATAAAGGTTAAGTGTGTTTGTTCGCAATTGGGGTTGGAGGAGGTTGTTTTGAGGCTCATAGCTTCTTAAATCAGGAATGCAGAATGAAGGAATTATATCAGGAAGGGAATAGAAGCGTCAAGACCCCCTTCCCCACTCCTAAATCTACAGCCTTTGGTATCTTGACTCCAAAGCCAATTGACATTTCATTTAGGAGAATGTGATTTTAAGCTTCTTCTATTCTTCTGCCTATCCAGTCACTTCTGTAGATCTATCTCCTGTCTTCTCCACTTTCTTGGTAAGCAGTTCTACCCACCATTTCTATTCCACAATGCAAACTCCAAAGAATGTAGCAGAGTCCACAAAGACACTTTGCACTGGGTTGAAGTGTCCTCCAAAAAAGTCATGTCTACTCAGAACCTCAGATGGCCCTATTTGGAAATAGAATCTTTGCAGATGTAATTAGTGAAGATGAGGTCATACTGGATTACGGTGCACCCTAAATCCAGTGACTAGTATCCTTATAAGAAGGCCATGCGAAGAGGCAAAGACACCCAGGGCAGAAGGCCACGTGAAGATGGAGGCAGAGACTGGAGTCGTGGTGCCATAGCCAAGGAACACCAAGAATTGCTGGCAAGGGGCAATGCTAGCGAGGAAGCTAGGAAAGGACTCTTCTCGAGAGGCTTCATTGAAGCATGGCCCTGCCAACACCTTGAATTTGGACTTCTGATATCCAGGGCTGTGAGAGAATAAACCCCTGGTGTTTTAAGCCACCCACTGTGTGGTACTTTGTTCCAGCAGGCCTGGGAAATTCATACACACACCCCTCAGTAAGGTTTCAGCAGCAAGACCTTCCACCCTTGCCTCAGTGGACAAGGGAGCACAAGGAACAGCTCTGATTAACAGTGCCCACAGCCTTTTCTCATTTACCTTTTTTTTTAGACAGGGTCTCACTCTGTCACCCGGGCTGGAGTAGTGGCGGACCACAGCCTCCAACTTCTGGGCTCAAGGGATCCTCCTGCCTCAGCCTCCCACGTAGCTGAGACTACAGGTGCAGGCCAAGACACCCAGCTAATTTTTTTTTATTTTTTGTAGATATGGGGTCTTGCTATGTTGCCCAGGTTGGGCTCAAACCCCTGGCCTCAAGTGATCCTCCCACTTTGGCCTCCCAAAATGCTAGGATTACAGGCCTGAGCCACTGTACCCAACATGTTGTTATTTACTAATGGATCACATGTATTTGTTTCTGTGCCTTTTGCCCTTCACAGTGGCATCTGTGCTTTCTGTTTGGGATCCTAGTTTATGCTCTGGGCCTATTAATATGCCTGAAGACACATCCATCCACATATCTCCTACCAGTAATCCTATCTTCTCATCCTAGCAGACTTATGCATATACATTAGAGACAACAGTTAAGCCTTAGGGCAGTGGTTTTTAACCTTTTTAGTCTCCCCAGAAATATGCATATATCTCAGGAGCCCAAAAGTTCAGAAATCCTTGAGGACAATTCCAGTATCTTCTCTTTACCCCTACCAGCATCCCAATTCAATTTCAACATGCTTCTGAAGTCCCCCACTGAGTTGAAACAGCAATCACCTACTGGCTCAGACACAGAACTGCCTAAGCCACCCTGGACAGTGCCATCAGGAATATACAATGGAAAGTCAGACCAAGCAGTACAACTCATAATAGTCACAAGTACTGCCCCACTCAACTATCTGCCTCTCCTTGTCTTCCACCCCTTTTCTCCTTTTCTTTTCCTTACTGTCTCCTCTGCCTTATCCTTCCTGCAAACGTACCATAACAAGCAGCAGTGAAATCTAGAACAAACTAAACAAAATAAGCCACACACTGCATTTCCACTCATCAGAAATGCTTTATCCATAGGTTTCCCTCTCGGGATACATCCGTGGTAGAAAGCACCTTGTCCCTCTGTTTACAAAGATCTTCCTGCAGTGAACAGTCTGCCTCTGGGTCACCAGAGAATTTCACTGCCTTGTACTTTTCATTTCTCACCAGATGCTCTGAATTCAAGAAATACTACTTTGGAATGTGCACTTCCCTTCAAGATGTATATGGAAAGTTTCTTTTCTGTCAAACTTCAATCCCAAACTTAATCCATCATACTGATTCTTTAGACTCTTTACCCTGGTTCAGCCACTCCAGACACACTCTCTTCTAGTAAGTTTGTTACAGTCAACAAAAATTATTAGGTATCTTCTGTGTGTAATAGCCCTTAGAACACAAGACTGTTCATGACCAGGAAACTCAAAGTTGTTTCTGATTTCCAGTGACCCTCCCCTGCCCAGTCCCTACAGAGCAGACGTCCACTTCCTCCCCAGGAGCCAAGGACCCAGTGCCACAGCTCCTGAATTCAACCACCTAATAGACGGGGACAAAAGAAAGAAGAGAGTAGCCAATGGGCACAAATGAGAAATGGATGAAATTAGGTCTTAGAATTAATGTACATTTCTGATGCATACTGATTTTACTCTTGTCACCTAGGGATAAGAGTCTATGCAAAAAACCAATCTTTCTAACCCAGAGAAGTGAATCTATTTATGGACCTGAAAGACCTCTGCAGTCTTCTTGGTCTTTGCTCCCTCACACCAAAAAACAACAACCTCCTTTTAAGTAAGACTTCCCTTTCAAAGTCATCCATCATCTTGTTCCTTGATTTTTGTTTTTAAAGTCATAAATGTTTATCCTAAATTAAGGAATTTGCCATGTAACTGCCACTGCTAGTTTCTGACCTATTAGCAAGATCTTACTTAAATCTATAAAACCCTTTAACACCAAGGCATTCAAGGAGTTTGAATCTTTTAAAAATAGCATTTAAATTTATTGTTTCACATTAGGTCTAGTGAAGCACAAGCTGAGATGGCTTAAGTTTCGCTTATAGATATCCAAGCTTCTGTTCTTTACAATTACAGGTCATGGGCTTCATCAGCCTGGTTCTTGACTCGCAGCTAAAAAAGGTAAAAGGTCTGTGTGAAGTGACAGAAGAGCACATCTACTCATGTCACAAGCAAGGAAGCAAAGCTGAGGAACAGTAGCAGTCTTGACATGCGCACTGTAAAGATTACTCTGCAGTCATGACACTCCAACACAGACCGGGAATGAGCAGTGAATTAGCTGAGCGCATTCTGCCCATAATTCTGACAGATTTCAGTCTGAGAACCTCTGCTGGAGGAGATTTCATTCTCTTCTTCAATTCTCTTCCACAGAAAAGAAAACAGAACTCAAGTCTGTATAAAAGTGATTAACGGCCTTTCCGTTTCTTCATTTTTCCTCCAGCCACCTTGTTCCTGACACCAATAGCACCCTCCGTGTCATCGTTGTCCCCAGCATCCTCCCGCGTGCGCTTCTTCTTTTCTCCATGCTCCCTTAGCTCCTGCAAGAAAACCGGAAGGATGCGATTGAAAGTGAATTACTGTCACTGAGGCTAATACATTCTAGTCCCCTCTCAAGGCCAAACACTGAGTAACTTCCTGATACCTGACATTTGCAAAGGAAAAAGACCCAACTCCAAATATACGAAAATGTTAATCTTATCGATAATGAAAGGATGAAAATTAAAATAAGCTATTATTTTCACATGGCAAATGGGCAAAGACTTAAGAGAATGGTAATCCCTAGTATTGGGTAAGACGTGGGGAAAGTCATATATACCGTCATTGTTATCTGAACATGCTACAGCTTTTCTAGGGGGGCAATTCGGCATTCTGTATGAATTCAGATTTTAACTGTATACTCACTCCTTGGCCTAACAATTCTAATTCTAGGAATTTATTCTTAAAAAAAATTAAGATAAGTATACAAAGATGTACATCCTAGAATGTTCAACATAGTACTAGTTAAAATAGAAAACATTAGAAAAATCATAACATCCATCAATATAAATCATGTTACATATACAAGATGGGATGCTTTTTGGCCATTAAGAAATGATCACATGGATTTGTATTTGTTGAAACAGAAAAATGTTAATCATATATAAGTAGATAAAGCCTAATTGTGGCTAAAGAAAGAAAAATAGCCACATGTTATCAATGGATCTCTGTGAGGGATGGTTTACCTTTTTGTTTACTACTTTAATCTTTGTGTATTTTCTGAATTTTTCCCCAATGTGCATGTAACACCTTTATAAACAAAAATACCAAATAAAAAATTCCACGTTGGCAGAAACACAAAAACAAGTCTGTACCTCAGCTATTCAGAGAGCAACCCACAGGCAAGGCTCCTCCATCCCTCAGACTGTAACTCCAGAAAGCGAGCGGCACTTCCAAGGACCTTCCTCTAGAATCCTCTCACCATTACTACTGTTACAACTGCTATAGGCTGTGTAGCCCTATCTAAAATGCTTTGGGACCAGAAGTGCTTCAGATTTTAAACTTTTTCACATTTTGGAATATTTGCATATACATCATGAGAGTATCTTGGGAACGGGAACGGAATTCTAAACATGAAATTCATTTGTTTCCTACACACTTTATACACATAGCGTGAAGGCAATTTTATACAATATTTTGAATTATTTTGTGCACAGAACAAAGTTTTGACTACAATCTGCCGTGAGAGGTCAGGTGTGGAATGTTCCACTTGCAGTGTCACACTGGTGCTCAAACAATTCTGGGTTTTGGAGCAGTTCGGATTTCAGATTCTCAGATTTGGGATGCTTGACCTGTATTAGTAACTATAGTTTATATTGGCTTATCTGGTGCTCACAAAAACCCTGTAAGGTGTTCAAGGCAAGTATTATTCCCAATCTATAGGTGAGGAATTTATGCTGAGAGATTAGGCAAATTGCCCAAGCTTATACAGTTCACAGCTGGGTCTTCTGACCTCAAGTCCAGTGGTTTTCTTGCCACATGTAATACACGAAGAGTGGCTGAGAATGCGGTCTTTCTGGTCAGACTGTCCAAATCCAAATCTCAATTCAACCATTTAATTGTGTGGTCTAAAGCAAATTACCTACCATCTCTGTGCCTTAGTTTGCTCATCTTTCTTTTTTAAGAGACAGAGTCTTGCTCTGTCACCCAGGTTGGAGTGCAGTGGCATGATCATACCCCACTGTGACCTGAAATTCCTGGCCTTGGGGGACTCCCACCTAAGCATCCAGAGTAGCTGTGACTACAGGTGCAAGCCACCATGCACAGCTAATTTTTAAAATTACTCAGCTCCTGTAGTCTATTATGAGGACTAATATAATAAAGTAGCACACAGTTAATATCATTTGCACAAAATGTGGTGAGAAAGAAACTTGCATACCATTCGGGCAAATCTCTGGGCTTCAGTCACACGTTCTGTCAGCATCATAACCTCATCATCCTGTGTTGGAAAAACAGGCAGTTTCTTCCCAATTAAGTGTTCTATGCGCTGGAAGAGTTCCACATCATACCTGAGGAAGGAAAATGGCATGGCTTTGGTTGGCTAATAATGCATATGTCTATCTATTCCCAGACTATATGACATTATATGATATGATACAATATGAAACACAGTTTTGTTTTTGTTTTTTTTTTGAGACAGAGTCTCGCTTTGTTGCCCAGGCTACAATGAGTGCCGTGGTGTCAGCTTAGCTCACAGCAACCTCAATCTCCTGGGCTCAAGCAATCCACTGCCTCAGCCTCCCAAGTAGCTAGGACTACAGGCATGCGCCACCATGCCCGGCCAATTTTTTCTATATATATTAGTTGGCCAATTAATTTCTTTCTATTTATAGTAGAGATGGGGGTCTCGCTCTTGCACAGGCTGGTTTCAAACTCCTGACTTTGAGCAATGCGCCCACCTCGGCCTCCCAGAGTGCTAGGATTACAGGCGTGAGCCACCGCACCCGGCCGAAAACACAGTTTTAAACAATATTGAACATATTCTTTTTCTAAATGCTGGTTAAGTGCAATCTTTGTGCATGGCCCATTAGAAAAATCACCCAAGGTATTCTTTTACTCACAGTAAAGCCTCAGGTACATAAATATTTGTTCCTTCAAAAAAAGAATCAGAAGTAGTTATTCTCGCCAGCCATGGCAGCTCATGCCTGTAATCCTGGTACTCAGGGAGGCCAAGGCGAGGATCACTTGAGGTCAGGAGTTCAAGACCAGCCTCAGCAAGAGCGAGACCCTGTCTCTACTGAAAAAATAGAAATTAGCCAGGCAACTAAAATAGAAAAAATGAGCTGAGTGTGGTGGCACACAGCCTGAAGTTCCAGCTACTTGGGAGGGTAAGGCAGGAGGATTGCTTGAGCCCAGGAGCTTGAGGTTGCTGAAGGCTAGGCTGACGCTACAGCACTCTAGCCCAGGCAACAGAGCAAGACTTTGTCTCAAAAAACCCCCAAAGGTAGTTATTTGTATACTTTCTGAGTTGAGAGAAAGGTCATTGCTCTCCAGGTCTAGTAGTTGAAAGAAATAACAGGTACCATTTGATGTGCTTCTACATCTCAAATCTATGCTAGATTTCTTACTTATATTATCTCCAATTTTTACCAAAATGCTGGCAGGTATTATTATTTCCATCTTACAAATATGAAAACCCAGACGAAGGAACTAAAGAGATTGGCATAGTAAATGGCAGAGCTAGGTTCCCAGTCAGTGGCTTCAAGTTCTGCCCTTTTCTCTACATTGCTCTGCCCCTAAAGTTGATTTACTTACTGTGTGACAAAAGTAATAGACTTTCCAGAACGCCCAGCTCTAGCTGTTCGACCTACTCGGTGGATATAATCCTGAAACAACAAGGGTAAATAAATTCTATAAAGCATATCTATATGGTTATAGACAACACAAGATGTAAAAAAAAGTACTGGCTCTTGAGGCAGACCTGGTAAAAACAGCTCTAGTTCTACCACATTATCTGCATATCACAAAACCTCTCTGAACCTAAAACAAGGATAGCAGTACATACTCAAACTTACAGAGTTATCATGAAAATCAAATGAGACAGCACCTTGTCTACAGCAGTTAAATACAAAGCCAAGAGATACACCAGTCCTATCCAGCGGCAATTCTGTCATCCCCAGGGGACATTTGGTAATGTCTGGAAACATTTCTGGTTGTCAAAAATGGAAGAGTGTGTGATACTGTCATCCAGTGAGTAGAGACCAGAAATGCTGCTAAATAACCGATAATACAATGCAAAGAACATCACCCACAACAAAGAATTTTCTAGCCCAAAATGGTAATAGTGCCAAGGCTGAGAAACCCTGATACACACTAAGAATAACAAGCTGTCATTTCTAAAGAAATGACAGTGACAGAAATCAGCATGTGCTATATAAATGCCCATTCTGACCGTGAGCATCTAATAACTCTCATTGGCTACCTTCACATGTACTAATGTGCATCTAATAACTCTCATTGGCTACCTTCACATGTACTAATGAGCATCTAATAACTCTCATTGGCTACCTTCACATGTACTAATGTTACATACACAGCCATGTGCAAGATGATGACAATGAATAAATCAAGAGCTTTCTTGAGTATTGATACTTAACTAATCACAGACAAAAAAAAAAAAAACCTATGTCATAACTAAAAAAGGCAGAAAACATTCCATTAAGAAATACACTTTGGGACTAGAAAGTCAAGGTAGTAGGACTCACCTTGGAATGTGTAGGAATGTCGAAGTTGACAACTACATCTACATGAGGTATGTCCAAACCTCGGCTTGCAACATCAGTTGCTAGAAGAATGGAACGAGCCTTTGCCTTAAACTTATTAAGGGATCCTAACCGCTTGCTCTGAGATAATGAAAAAGAAACAAGAAGAATTTTAATCTTGGAAAACTAAGGAATCTTGAATACACAACCTATAAATAGACACATTAAACACAAGAACAAAAAGATACAAATATTTTTTTTTTTTTGAGAAACAGTTTCACTCCTTTGCCCTGAGTATAGTACTGTGGTGTCAGCCTAACTCACTCAAACTCCTGGGCTCAAGCAATCCTCCTGCCTCAGCCTCCCAAGTAGCCGGGACTCTAGGCACACACCATGATGCCTGGCTAATTTTTCTATTTTTAGTAAAGATGGGGTCTTGCTCTTGCTCAGGCTGGTCTTGAACTCTTGAGCTCAAGCAATCCTCCCACCTCAGCCTCCCAAAGTACTAGGATTACAGCCGTGAGCCACTATGCCCAGCCTAACATACAAATTTTTAAAAGTTTTTTTCCCCCTAAGTCCAGAATAGGGCTTCACAGGTAAAAACAAAAATATGGCAGCAACAAAAAATATTTAAGACTTAGGCTCTAAGCATTTAGGCATTAAAAAAAAAAAAGGCTTACATTAGAAACAGGGATTATTTTATTTATTTATTTATTTATTTATTTATTTTTGAGAGAGTCTCACTTTGTTGCCTAGGCTACAATGAGTGCCGTGGCGTCAGCCTAGCTCACAGCAACCTCAATCTCCTGGGCTCAAGCAATCCTGCTGCCTCAGCCTCCCGAGTAGCTGGGACTACAGGCATGCACCACCGTGCCCGGCTAATTTTTTTTATATATATATTAGTTGGCCAATTAATTTCTTTTTATTTATAGTAGAGACGGGGTCTCGCTCTTGCTCAGGCTGGTTTTGAACTCCTGACCTTGAGCAATCCGCCCGCCTCGGCCTCCCAGGATTATTTAACATAATAGATAATTGTGAAATAATTTATTAAAAGTCTTTAGAAATCAGAGAATCACTAGTACCACTAGGGCTGAATAAATAAATTCAAAAGCTTGCAAACCAGACAACTACCTATGAAATATTCTAATCTGAGCCTCCTGCTATCCCGAAAGGAGAAAGTAACCACCGAGAGCAACACTCCAAAGCCCATAAAACTGGAACAATTATGGAAACATGTGTCCTTATTGTACAAATCTACCATTACAAGGTTTATCTTTCTCATGACACCAGTCATGGCTTACAGGCCAAAGAATCCTTACCTGACTCATCTGTCCATGGAGGGGGATGGCCGTGAATCCGAGATTTCGGAGTAGCAAAGCTGTTCTCTGAGTATTGTTACAGGTGCTACAGAATATCATAAATGAGTTTCCAGCCAGCTCATTTAGAATGTAAACCAGGTAGGTATCCTAAGTTACAAACCCAAAACAATATATATATATATAATTGAACCTGGAAAAAAGAGTTAGAGACGTGGCATATACACTAAGTAAAACTAAGCCTATAGTTGCTTCTCAATTATCCAGACCCCTCGCTGCCAGTTTTGCTCTTCTTAACCAGTGTTATCCCTGTGGGCTATGCCTCCCCCATGCAGCCTGAAGCCAAGCACAGGGAGATCTGTACTCAGCCAACAGGAAAAGTCCTTATGTCAAAGCACAAAACTAGGATCACTGTCCTAAATAAAGGCCACATAATAAGCAGAGGAAAAACTACCTCTTGGATGAAGATGGGAAGGAATGATCATATGATCACATCATGAGTTTGTTATTGTGGTTTAGTATGTTGTGAATTCCTGGAATGTTTGACTTTCAGTGATAAATATAAGCGCGATATGCACTCTAAAGCAAACAGAAAAAAATCCAGCACAGCTCTCAGCTAATCAAGAGTTGACACATTTTCAGATGCTTTGGTGAGAAGGAGAGGGAGAGGCAGGAATGATCAAAGTAAACACTTTACCTTGAACTTAGAGGGAATGAAAAGATAATATTGCTGTAATTTCTCAACTGTCTGGTATTTAGAGGAAACAGCACATTTCACAGGATTCTTCAGAGCTGCTCGTTGAAGCTTTTGCACCTGAAGAAAGAAAATCCAGACTAGCATACTGACTGATTCCTAAGTGCTCTTTTTCCTTTTTTACTTATTGTTACTATTACTGTTAGTACTGATTTCATGTATCTATATATATATATTTTTTTTTTTTTTGCAAATTCTTCCAGATCCTGATATGTACCAATTCCTATAAAGAAAAAAACAGAAGTCCCAGCAAATTCACCTTCTTGGTCATGGTAGCAGAGAAGAGAAATGTTTTCCGATCTCGGGGAATTACTTTAAGGATCTTGTCAACCTGAGGCACAAAAAGGGAAGGATACAGATATAACATTTAGACTGGAAACCTGCATAATGTCCAGATAACGAAGGAGGTGGAAACTAACAAACTAAGGACATCACAATGGGAATTTGGGACTCAAAAATTCGATTCAATTCAGCTAAAATTAACAGAATATTTACTATTTGACACCATACCAGATGCTAACAAAAAACCAATACCATTCAAAGAAAAGAAGAGTTTAAATTAACATGTTAAAACTAATCTAAAAGAAAAGTCAAAAATACATAATTAATCACCTAAATAAGCTAGGATGAGTGGGCTATCAAAGAAAATAAAAGATATTTCAAGGTACATTTTAAGGTCTAAGTCAAATGAAATGGAACAGAAAATGTGGTTTTGATATTTCTCCTCTCCGAAGTCAGAGTCAGACTATATTCTAAAGACAAAAGGGTGCTGAGGAACCGCAATGTGCAGAACACCAAGAATGAAAAAGGCAGCAAGGATGCTGAAATTAATTGACACTGACATAGTGCTTTACATAAAACAGATGGGCAATGAATCAAATTTGAAAGAGGGGCCTTGTGATTCCCTAAGAGTAGGAAAGAAATCAAGAAATCACCTCTGTCTCAAAATCCATGTTCAATATTCGGTCAGCTTCATCCATGACTAAGTATTTGAGAGCTCTTAAGTTGAAACCTTTTGTATTTTCCAAGTGGTCAATCAGTCGCCCAGGAGTTGCTAACCAGGAAAGGTTGAAGAGAAAGTACAATGTTTCAGAGCAAGGACAAAAAGAAAGAAATAAAATTATCTACTCCCCCCTACCAAACAAATATTTAAGAAATTAAAAAATTAAACAGAACTACAAAATCCTGTTCCTCAAAGTCTTTCCACCCAACATTAGCAGA